TATATATATATATATATATATATATATATGTATATATATATATAAATAATGCGCTTACATTACTTGATCACTTATTGCATGCATAACATAAACCCTCTCAAACTTATCTCGAAACCACTACTCACTTAAAATATATAAAAAAAAAAAATGGAAAAATAGCAAGGCTAACAACATAGCCTTAACAAATCCTATTTTAGCCTTTAGAATGCCTTTCGGACTCAAAATAGCAAAACCAACTCCACTAACATCCTCTCTCAACTTCTTTATTTCTATATTCAAACCACCATTTCTCATAAAAATCCGGACTAAAATAAGTGCACTAACCAATAAACTCACAATTGTGGTAATAATAGTACAATCTATTTGGGTTGGATTTTGACTTAAATATATTTATAACTACTCTTCTTCCACAATATATCTTATTCATATATCTTGGGTAGTCTTTATCATCATCTTGTTGTTGATGTTAGTTACTAGAAGAGTGGAGTAAGCGGGATGACATTTCATCGAACGAGTTGAGGGCAATGTGATTTTGTGTGTTTTTTCATACTTTTTTTCTTCTATATTGACATTTCGTCAAACATCTTAGGTGAATTAATTTTTTTTATTTTTTATATGTACTCTTATTTTTGTGCCAATAGACCACTTATTTAGGAGGAGAGGGGGGGGAGGATGGAGAGGTTGGAGGGGAAAAAAAAATACCAAAAACATGTTTTGGCATTTTTTTGGTTTTTGGTATTTTTTTGGTGGACAAAATTGTTAGAATGGATGAGTGGGTGAAATTAGAAAACAAATTTCATTAGTTTAATTCAGTTAGAGTTTAATAAAAAAAAAAAAACAAATGTTAGCCATCCTCAAAGCCTATTAAGTTAGCCATGCATGTTTTACGTTTTCACGTGCACAATCTCAATTATCCGTAACAAAAATATATTGGGTGGACTTGATTTCAAAACTTCTAAAGTTCATGGGTCTCCGATCCAATAAAAGAGTTTTGAAACCTAAATTCAAATGACCTAAAGTTCATGAGTGGTGAGATCCTTTTAGGGAAAAAAATACATAAAGATTAATTAAAAATTTTAATTAATTATATTTTAATACATAATATTTTTCTTAGTTTGGTACGGATTCAAACTCCATAACAAATGGATTGGATTAATAACACATTTCTTCTAGTACAACATTTTGGGTCACGTAAGGATAGACTATAGATATTCCGAAAAGATCGATATCTATGCCTTATTTTTGAGATGCATTAGAAATTCACTTGATGGGCTTAAAGTATAATATGTTAAAGGGAGTTTTGATTGTTACTTATTTAACATTTATTAGCAAGCTGGAACAATTAATTAAGTAGTTCAAAAGAGTCTTTATATATATATATAGTTTGACTCAAATCACATTATTCAAATATAGATGACGTGATGCGATCCTAATGATTAAAAGTCATCCTTTTTTTTTTTTTATATATATAAATATCAACTTCACATTATTGTGAAGGTAGGACAATCATTCTTGATTTTCTTTAGCTAATTATTTAAACTCTTTTTTACAGCTCTTTTATTCACACACTATACGGTACCTAAAATTTTACTTGTTAGGATTTTGATCATTTATCTATCTACTAATTATTTGTCACTAAACTTATGTCTTATTAGTATTTCGTGTTTTTCCTTTTATGTTTTTCATTATTTGCACCTATTTTATTCGAGTAGTATCTTCTAATATTTTAACTTATATTCTAACCTTTCATTTACTCGTTCTTTAAAACCCATCACTCATATGCTCAATTTTTTTTTGTCCAACAACATGATTGATTGTAAACCATTTGTTGACAGCTGTACAGCTATGCCAATAAAACGTGCACGGAACTGTAAATCAGATGAAGAATGTTTTTTCATGAGGAAAAAAAGAAAAACTAGTATAAAAGAATTTGGAGAAGTTATTGACACTTAATAATCTAACCATACATTTTTCAACTTTTTTTTTATATTAAAAAGATAAAATTATACTTTTATTTATTTATTTTATTAGCTTGTTAAATTTGTTACACTTGTATTGGCTGATTTCCTCCTAATTATAAAAAGAAAACCTAATTCTTTAATTAATATTAATACAACTGTATCTTCTTTTTTCAGCCTGCGTTTTTCATTTCCTTCCCTAGCCAGTCTTTTATCATTACTTTACTTTTGAATTTTTTTTTTATATGCAACTCTTGTAAGGGGGGAATAAAAGTTTGTATATATTGGAATAAATAAAAAAGGATAATTTTATCTTTTAAGATAAGAAAAGCCTTAAATTATGTGGTAGACCATTTAATATGTCAATAGCAGTAATTAAGATTTTGATGCTGACTGCTACTTGTCAATACAATATATGCATGGGACTGGGGGAACGACACCGTGTGTTGTGGCAAGGTTGGCATGCCAAAGCAATCTCTATAAAATATAGTGAAAAAAGTTAGTAATATCAAATACGCTTCAATATTATTTGTTTATTCTTCCAACCTCAACTTTATCGAACCAACGTGGACACATGGTTTTCGTCTTCGTCCTAGCTGCATGCAAAATAAGCAGTAATGACACGATAAAAAAAAGGTACAAGATTAAAAAATATCAGGAATAGAAAGTGGTAAGTTCCTCAACAAACACCTGCACATGCACAACAATATTAAACCATCCTAATTAAGCTAGCTGACTTACGAATAGCCTTGTTACATACTGGCTTTACAAGAATAATAAAATAATAATAATAATAATGACTGTAGGAATAAGAAAGAGAATCAATAATTGATTTGTTTTTTTAAATTTTGGTTTTATTAATCAGCTCTAGGATCTGGACGTTGCGTTGGGAGGACTCAGAGTGACATTAGACAAGTCGTAATCACTTACGTTTAATTAAAATGGTCCTTTCCATACCGATTCGTTCCCTATCACAAATAATCGAATGCTACGTACTAAACGTAGTCGGCAGGGTGACATACAGCTGCTTTAACTTGAGAGATGTCTTTTTTACCCTTATTCCTTCCCAGGAACAATAATAATACACACTTATGATCCGAATGACAAGTTCGTAGAAGTCGCAAAGGCATATGGAAACAAAGTATGATAGTTGTGTTGTTTGGATCTTACCAGGATGGGCTGATCTGTCATTTCTTCCAAGTATTGCTTGATGTCTTCATTTCTTGAAAAATAATTTTTTTTATTATCTTCATTTGACTCTTAATTAATTCGGTTTATCACATGTTATTAGCAGCCATGCTATACTTTTAAATATTGGATAAATTAATTCTTACGTACGTATATGTGGATAAACAATAAAAAAATAGGTTGCACCTTGTCTACAAGGCAACAAAAGCACTTGTCATGACATTCTTTTGTTGGTTCCCCCCCCCCCCTCCTTTTGATCATATATATATATGGTTTTTGTATTTTTTAAATTATTTTAATCGAGATCATATATCTTTTTCGTATTAATTGAATTTCTTTACTCTTTATTTTGCTTTGATATAGTCCTTTCATTATAATACTCGTTAATTTGTAAGCCGACGTGATACATCTATTTTTGAATGTATAACACTTGTCATATATGAAACTCTAATAATAAAAATAATAATAATAAACTCAATCAAAACTTTAAAGAGTATGAAACTTCAATCCAAATAATTTAAAGAGTGCAAAGATTAAATTATTAATTGTTTTTTTTAAAAATTTTGCTATGTTATTATTTTTTAAAATCTCATCTTGAATGCCATGAAGTGTATAATATATGGGATATCATCACAATAAAACTATGAAGAGTAATTATTTTTAAAAAATATTTTTATATCTTAAAATTATAAAATACATATAAAACAACCTAACATGAAATTAAAAAAAATATATATGTTTGTCAAAATTAAAATAAAAACAATAATAATACAGATTAGTTACTAATTATCTGTATTAAAAAAAATTGCTTAATTATGAGTTGACGCTATCTCAAAATATTTAAAATCAAATGCAAGAGATTTAGAATAAAATTCAAGAGCATTAAATAGAACTAATGATGATTATATCAGACTAATCAAATGATGTTAATGTAGTTTTGGAACAAAGTTTATCCTTAGCCAAAATAATAGAATTTCAAACTTTTAAAATAAAAATAATAATAAGAAAAGAAACCAAAACCATTACGAACTATCTTGCCCACACTTTTCCCAAAAAAAAAAAAAAAAAACCCATATTCATAAAAAATTTCAAGTAGTACATTTTTATTGGCAACTATTTATTTTTTTTTTTAACAAAAGATGAAATATTCTTTAAAAGAAAACCAGGTATATATCTAGATCAAGTCAAATACCAATTCCAAATTTGCTAAAAACTAACTAAACAATCCATTATTAAAACAAATATATATATATATATTACACCAAACTGTTTTTAGATGGGAACGCGGAGGGAGGAAAGAATTATATTCGCCGCGTACGCACACAGAAGGCAGGGTTTTTTTTTTTTTTTTTTTTTTTTTTTCCCATTTAATTCACAGAAGTCATACCGAGCAATCCTCATAATTATAAAAATTTTCACATGCAATGCAAGTTGTTTTAAAATCTCCAATGGATATTTGCAACAGACTCTGGATTTGAATTAAAAAATCCATGAAATGGGCTATTTATGATCGCCACGTCAGTGACAGCTTTATCTCACATGGATTTTTTCGGCCTTGCCAGTACGTAGTTTTCTTTTCTTGATCAATCATGCAATCCTGACAAATTTTATAAACATTTTTGGATCCCATGCTGACGATGCAAAAAGAGCTGTAGCTGTTGCCGCTTTATCTTTGCATGTATATATAGGCAAGACACTAATCTTATATTCTCATACACACGCCTAACTTTAAGTCCTTACTTGCAACTCGAAAGCTCTATTGAAGAGTCCTGAGCTGCAACTCACTGTGTCCTGACTTGCAAGTTGTAAGGTTATCTTAATTTGTCTTCAGCTAGCTAGCTGTTGGAGAGAAAAATGACTATTAGGCTAGAGAGAGATGTTGAGCAAGGTGAGATTAATGGCCTTGAAGACTTGGAAAAGCCACTGATCTTGGAGGAGAAAATTGTTGTGATTAGTGATAATGATGAAACTGATCAAGATCAAGAGAAGACTGCAGGATCCATTGGGATGGTTCTGCTATGTACATTTGTTGCTGTCTGCGGTTCTTTTGAATTTGGCTCTTGTGTAAGTACTCTTTAACTTCATCTTTTTTTTTTTTTTTTTAATTAGTGGTATCAGTCAAGGATGGAAATGCAGTTCCTGGTTTAAGAGAAGTTCTTGGTTTACTAAATGGATTTTTTTTCCTTTTTCTTGTCCCATTGATCTTGTTTAGGAACCCAAAAACTCCCAAAAAAAAAAAAAAAAGGTTTTGTTTAGCTTAAGTTATTATTTTGGCAGGTGGGCTATTCAGCTCCCACTCAATCTGCGATCAGGGAAGATCTTAATCTGTCAATAGCTGAGGTTGGTCTCCTTTTCTATCCTTTTCTTTTTCAAATATGAAAATATATCACATAATAATCTATCTAAATTGAGTGTAATTTTTTGTAGTACTCTATGTTCGGCTCTATATTAACAATTGGTGCAATGTTTGGTGCAATTACAAGTGGCCGGATTGCAGACTTTGTTGGTCGAAAAGGGGTATGTCAAATTTTGGAGTTCTGGTAATAAAAGGTGATTAATGAGCCTCCCATTTTATCTAATGGTTCCTTTCTGACCAGGCAATGAGAATGTCAGCTTGCTTCTGCATAACAGGATGGCTAGCAGTCTTCTTCTCTAGAGTAAGTGTTATTGTGCAATTAAAATCTTGCAATTCATTGCCAACAGAATTTTTATTCTACGACCTTCAACATCAATAGAGTTGATATGCTAATGCTCCTTTATTTTGCTGGTAATTGTCCTGATACAGGGACCTTTGTTGCTTGATGTGGGGAGGATTCTAACAGGATATGGCACTGGAGTCTTCTCTTATGTGGTAATTACTTGATAATCATGATCCTCTTACAAAATCTTACACTGGGACACTTGCAACCTAAATGTACTTGCGTCCCATGAAAAAACAGATTCCAATATTCATAGCAGAAATAGCACCGAAGAATCTCCGAGGAGGGCTTACCACGTTAAATCAGGTAAGACATCACAAAGCTAACATGGACATCAATTTAAAAAATGATCCAAGTGTAGTGATTACTAAGTTTTTGATTCCTTTGTCATCTCTATTGCTTTTTAGCTCTTGATCGTTACTGGCTCGTCCACTGCATTCTTAATTGGATCAGTCATAACATGGAGAGGACTAGCTCTAACTGGTAAGTTAAAGTCCTGCAAAATACGATACCTTTTCTTTTGATGTTGAATTCTGCTTGAACTGACATACCAAAGAAAAAGTAGAATCTGTTTTAGAGGTTTGGCAAAGCGCTGATTGTCATTTTTGGATATGTTCTGCAAGGTCTCGTTCCCTGCATTTTCCTGCTCGTTGGTCTATGTTTCGTTCCGGAGTCTCCCAGATGGCTGGTAAGTTATGTTTCATTCAGGCTTTGGCTGCTCTTAATTTGTCAAATTGGGAGGGAGGTTTAACTAAAACCTATGTATCCAGGCAAAAGTTGGTCTCGAGAAAGAGTTCCAAGTTGCACTGCAGAAACTACGTGGCAAAGATGCTGACGTTACTCGTGAGGCTGCTGAAATTCAAGTACTTGTCTTCAACAATGGCAAATTACTTGAAGCAACTACCATAAAACATAAGTATCTTATGACCTGTCTGTTCCTGTTTCTTGACAGGTTTACCTTGAAACTCTTCAAGCCCTTCCTAAAGCAAAACTTTTCGATTTGTTCGAAAGCAAATACATTCGTTCTGTTATTGTAAGTAACTGTCGTATATGATAAGAAATTCAATCCATACGTTTACATTGTTATACACAAAAGAGATTTTGTGTTTGTGATGTCTTACAAGCTTTGCACTTGATCATGATATTAAGATCGGAGTGGCATTAATGGTTTTCCAACAATTTGGAGGAATTAATGGCATTGGATTTTATGCAAGTGAAACTTTTGCTTCAGCTGGTAAATAAGTTGCACTGACTATTTTACTTGATTGCTGTAGTTCTGAGTCTTCGCCGTTGTTCTGAATTGTTCGTATAAATTGCAGGACTTTCTTCAGCAAAAATTGGAACCATAGCTTATGCTTGCATTCAGGTATTTAATTCCGCAACTCCTCGGAAAAAAAAATGATGATAAGTTTTTGTTTCGGAGCCTAACCCATCTAAAATTGATTTGCAGGTCCCAATAACTTTGCTAGGATCAATTTTAATGGACAAATCAGGAAGACGATCACTTATAATGGTAAATATCAGTTTAAGAACTTGCATTGCAAATATTAATTTAGTGAGACAAATCTTTTACTAACTAACAAATATACTTTTTGTTCATGAAGATCTCCGCAACTGGGACATTTCTAGGCTCTTCCTTAGCAGGAGCTTCTTTCTTTCTCAAGGTAAATCACACTAAAATTCTTATTAGTTCAACGCATATGTTGTTCTTCCTGTCTGCGTTCTAGGTCTGAATTTGTTTTGATCTTTGTGATTCAGGGGCACGGCTTGTTGCTTGAGTGGGTGCCAATATTAACAGTCTCAGGAGTGCTAGTAAATTTCCTACTATATTACTGTTTTTCTTTTATTTCTGACCGGCAATCAGAATTTAAAAATTTCTGCTCATGTTCCTTATGAAACCAGATTTATGTATCGGCATACTCAATCGGAATGGGAGCAGTTCCCTGGGTGATCATGTCTGAGGTAGCTATTTTTACCTGACAGGAAAGCTGATTAAATTTCTAATTTTGTCTAACTTTGTGTACGGATTGGACTAGGAGTTAACTACAAGCTATGACAGTCCAAGTTTTGCTTTATCTAAGACTTTTTCCTGTGGCAGATTTTCCCTATTAACATAAAGGGAATTGCTGGGAGCTTGGTGGTGCTAGTGAACTGGTTGGGTGCTTGGACAGTTTCTTTTACGTTCAACTTTCTTATGGACTGGAGTTCCTCAGGTAAGTAAAAACTTCTCAAGCCGAAAGTTGTCGTATATTTTGCGTTGTCATGCACCTGACTTAATGGTTTTCACTTTTCAGGTACATTCTTTGTGTACTCGGGATTCTCAGTGCTGACAGTTCTCTATGTAGCCAAGTTTGTACCAGAAACCAAAGGAAAAACACTGGAAGAAATTCAGAAAATTATCAATTCATAGAGAGTAGAAAGTTTTGAAGGTTGAAAGGATACTTTCAGGAGATCCTTTGAAATTGTTGTGTGATTTTGGCTCAATTTCAGTCCCTATTCGGAACCGAAGGGCCGGATTCTGAACATGACATGAAGGCGTGAACAGTCTTAATCTCCAATGTGTGATCAATTCTTTGGGTTCAATGCAATATTCATTTTTTTTTTTGTCTGGAAGTGTATAGAGTACTGGTAGTCTGGTATCTCCGCATTGTGACAACTTTAGATGAACGTGCTTTGTATTCATGTACAACAGAAAGTGACAGAAACCACCAATTTATCCAATCAATGATGAACAGGAATTTCCTTGCAAGCCTTATTCTTTTCATTTTACATTATTACTAGTTTTTTTTTTTTTACTAATGTCATCCGCTGTGAATCAGATAAAACACATAAAATTATTTTTTAAAAATTACTTTAATTTGATGTTCCATATTATATTATGCTTCTAACAAAATATATTAAATCAAAACTAAATAAAAATTCATTAAATTTTATAATTTTTTTAATCAAATATTTATATTTGACTAATTATTCTTTATATTTTCATAAATTTTTTTATTAAAAAATATTATTTATTTATTTATCTTTATCCACATTTTTAACTAAAAGAATTATAATAATGTAAGAAAAATATCAAAATCAATAGATTTCTTAACTAAAAACTTATTTTATAATTTTTTTTCCTAAACATCTATTTGGGTTAAAATTTTTAATTAAAAAAATCAAAGAAAAAAATAAGGACCAAAGTGATCAAAATGAAATAAAAAAGAGGAGCTAAAATAAAACAAAAAAATTTACAGATCAAAATTTTTTTAAAAAGAGAGACTAAAGTGTAATATCACGAAAATTTTCATAATAATTACTTTTAAAAATTTTGAAAAATACAAAAAAAAGAAGAAGAAGAAAAAGCTAATGCATAGTAAAAAGAATAATACATATGAGTTTGTGTGAATGATGCATACGAGTCTAGATGATAAATATTATTTGAAACAGTACCAATGAATAGTAAATTAATCTTTTGGGTTTAGTTTTTTTTGTTAATATTATACATTTAAATATATATTTTTTTCTTTTAGAAAAATCAATGGGACTTGGCTTTTGAATTTTCTTTTGTGAGGACATGGAGGAAAATTTATTGAAGGGCCACCGAGTCAAAAGTGTATTGTAAGTACTTTATGGACTAGTGACTCAGAATAAAAACCCTATTAATGGAGAGGCTAGATCATAACCGAAAAGAATAGTAGAAGAATTCAATTTATCAAATTAGTTGTAGTTGGGACTGAATAAATTAATTATAGGGATCATAATCTATAATTAACCTCATCTAAAACAAGCATGTCTTAATCATAAAATGGTAGCTCGTAGGTAAACAAAAGTTGATTTGTAAGTCAATTTAAAATTTTAATTTTTATAGTTATTATTTTTCAAAATTTATTTTCAAAATATTTGAATCTATTATTTAAATAATGCCTTTTAACTACGTTTAAGATGTATTTTGAATTCGTGTATTGGATAGTATCTTTTTACATACGGGAAAGCCAATCCGAGAATTTTCTTGGGTGCTCGGGGACCCAAGCCATGTACCCATTACATCTAAGAGACACAAGAGAAGAACAGTAACACGTGTTCCTTCATCTTCCAGTTAAGTAGTACAGCCTTTATGCTTCCTTCCAACTTCCTTCCTGCCTAGGCCTAGCTAAAACCTAAAGGTAATGGTCCTCAAACGCTAACAGAGAAAACAACAAATATCTAAATTCACACTTCCTACTTACTTGCTTTGTAATTTTTCGCCCTACCTCGAATAAAGATGATTTTTGTTCTTCTTTTCCTTCTTGATTTTATTTATTTTTCTTTAATTTTTTATTTTATTTTCTTTTACATATTGTTTATTTGTTTGATTGATTTCCAATATGAAGTGAAAAATATTAGAATTAGTTCACTACTTCAATTTCTTTTCAATCAAGTTGGTATTTGTTTGATGTTTGGATGCTAAATTATTGTGATCTGTTTGCTTTGCAATGGAGAAAATTTCAAAGTTAGAATCTTTTCAAGCCTCAAGTTATCGAATTTTAAATAATTCGATTTTTAGATGCTCATTTGATTCTTCGAATAATGAAAAAAAAAAAAAACTTTTTTTCATTTCTCTTGTGTTCTGTTTTGCAGGATTTGAGGTTGTTTATGCTGATAACAAGTTAATTGATAGGGTTTCAGCATCCATGACTGTACATTGAAAGTGGTTATTAAAGGAATTTAAAGATAAAGATAACATGAGGAGGATACGTAAGAGTAGTACTGTAGGTGATGATAAAACTGCTGGCAAGGGAGCCTCTACTAGTCAAGAACGCAATGAGATTTCTGATTATCTTGATCATGAGATTGTTCAACTCACAAAGCTTAAGTCACGGCCTCACAAACTTTTGAGCAGGGACGTTCCTGGCAGGTTGAGGCTGCCCGTCTCAACTATGAGAATGTTGGTTGGTCGAGAGGGTAATTATTCCGGAAGAGGGAGATTCTCATCCGCAGATAATTGTCATGTTTTAAGTCGATATTTGCCTGTACATGGTCCTTGCACGGTGGACCAGTTGGATAGTCGGACTTATGTCTCTCAGTTTTCAGCTGATGGTACTCTTTTCATCGCGGGATGTCAGGTATTGTTCAATAAGTTCGGGCTAAAATAAAGTAACTTTTCCTGAACAGTCATTTTTCTTCATGAAGAGTTGGGGATACATAAATTAATGGGAATGTTTGGAATGTTATTTTAAGTGAGTATCTACTTTTCCTGTGCAACAGGGAAGCCACATTAGGATATATAATGTGGATAAGGGATGGAAAGTTCAGAAGGACATATTAGCCAAAAGTTTAAGATGGACGATTACTGATACGTGTCTTTCTCCCAATCAACGCTATCTTGTAAGTTTCTGATGATTGTAGGTGGAAAAAAAATGTCTATATATTACTGATATTGTAAATCAATTATTATGGTGTAGTTCAAAGCATCAATGCAGGTTCTCTGGGTTTAGTGGAGGACTATTTCTTTGGCAGACCACCTCTTTTATGACTTGTTACCAAATTACGTAAATACCAAACAGAAATTATCTGTGTTTGTTTCCTGTTTTAATTGTTGTAGCTTTCATGTTGTTCAATGTACAGTTTGGTGGATTACCTGCCTGTCCATTTCTTGTTATATTGTGCTTTTGATGTTCTGTATATGATTGTGCACATACGCCCCTGTTGTACTGGTTTGTGTGTGTATAGTGGGAATTTATAATCATCTCTCTATGCACTTTCTGATTCAATCTCTTTTGAGTGCTGGATTGTGTGGATGTTTGGGTCGTCATGGACATGGCTTAAGTGCTCCCTTATAAAATAATTTTTGACAGTGGCATAAAAAGCCTTAAAGAAGGGTTACTTGGTTGTTTTAGGTCTTATATCTTTTTGATCCTCTATAACAAGTCAATTTGTCTGGTGGCATATGGCAACCTAGCCATCTTGGGAACTGGGCTCATAGTTGGCCAGCATAATTTTATTAATTGTGTTCAACTCATCCTTATTCTCCTTTCTAATGAAATTTACTGCTGTTGTTGATTTTACCAGGAATTATGCAATACTTGAAAAAGTTGCAACATATACGGTAGCAAATAAAACTTGGATTATCGTTTGGGCTTCTATACTATATTAAATGTTATTTGTAGTTTCTTCCACTCTTTTGTAACTATGCCATTTTTTGTTGGAGATGAACTGATCTATAGGCTTGACATGCAATGCAATTTATTTATATAACATGGAAGCAATGCTTTTTCATCGTTGATTTCATTTACCTTCAATTTTCATGGTGCAGGTGTATGCTAGCTTGTCTCCTGTTGTCCATATTGTGAATATTGCATCTGCTGCCTCAGAGTCACTGGCAAATGTAACGGTACGTGTGCCCCAAGTCATACTTGTATGTGGATTTTTTTCTTTTCTTAGTTTCTTATGATAATAAGCGGGTGTCTCATCAAAGGCTAAAATCTTTTAAGCTGTTGTCATATCAGCTTTATTTTATGGAACTATCTTTAAATCATCATCTTGGAAATACTATGTTGTCTTGCTGTTATTGATGGTGATAGATGGAAAATTTTTATTTCTCTGATGGGGATCTCTATTTAATTTATGCAATGATTGTATTGATGCTCTGCCCATGGCTTGAGTTTCTTTATGACGTGCACTATTCTGTGTTATAGGGCACCATTGTCTGGCTATATGACATTTATCACTCTGAATTATTCCTTATTCTTGATTAGGGACCATGTTATAATGACTATTAAAAATCAGGTTATGGTCATAATGCCGATCTGGTAAGTGAGATGATCACTGGAGTATTTGTGCTATATAGAGGCAATCCAGCACCTTGAGCAATGCTTACTTAGTTGTCCTCTTATAGACAGCCAATTTTTTTCCTGCTCTGGGAACTTCAAAGCTTATAACTTGGTCCGACGCATTTTGTTTCTTCATTGTTTTTAGTGCGACAAAGTGATCAATCAATATATGCTTAAATCTTACAATGCGAATGGTCATTGATTTCAATCACAACATAGTTTCTATATGCAGGAAATTCATAATGGTTTGGATTTTTCTGGAAACGATGATGATTTTGATGAATTTGGGATCTTCTCCGTTAAGTTTTCAACTGATGGGCGAGAGCTTGTAGCTGCAAGTAGTGATAATTCAATATATATTTATGATCTTGAAGCAAATAACTGCAGCCTCCGAGTTCGTGCACATAAGGTATCATATTTGTACATTTCATCATAAGAAGCATTTTCAATTTTGAAATTTAGTGGGGTCATTGAAAGTTAGAATCTGTTGTTTGTTTGGAATTGGTTGATTACATTCAAGTTACGTCCAGACAATCTGTAAGCGACTTCCCCTTGTATTGCTGCTTTTTAGTGGTTTTAGTTGGTATACATAATTTCTCTTATATTGCTGCTTTTTAGTGGTTTTAATTTGTATACATAAAGGAATGCTAAATTGTCTATATGATTCCTTTGAAACTGAAAATGCAGACCCTTGCCTGCCCGATGACCTGTAGATTTATTGTGCACAGTAAAAGACAAAACCTTGTTATGTTCACAAGTTTAATTTGTTAGAGAGCTCATCTTGAGTTCAGGGGCTATGGGGAAGAATCGGAATGAGGGATAGGTAATCAGTCTCACTATTGACAGCTTGAAAGAGAGTGAAGTGAGCCGTTGGCTATGCGGCACAAACAATAGAAGAAGAACAGAGGAGGGTTACGGACATCTCTGATCGTTCACCTCTAATGTGACACGCTCCCTCTCAGTTATATGATCAGCGACATCAGTCAGCTAGGGAGCGACGTCCTTCCCCACTGAATCCATTTGCTCAGAAAAAGAATTTTTTTTGTTTTTTTTTTTGTTCCTTCCCACAGCTGAGACCGACTACTAGGAGGCCCAACCCAAGACAAGGAGGGAAAAGCTCTCTCTCTTCTACATTACCTTTTGGTCTTTGCAGCTGGAAGAATCCTTGGTTAGAATGGGATTTGAACTCAGCACCTTTTGAGATTTTGCGAAGAGTGGCTCTTTGGAGAGCACAGTACGATGAAAGTTGTAAGCTCTGGGGGGTGGGGGGTTAGTTATTGTCTATCACCAGCCTTTATGGTACAATCAGTCGGGGGTCCGAGAGGCAGCGGTTTACCCTGTGGCGGATGTCAGCGGTTTGAGTCTGCTTCTCTAACGAGTCAATGCCTGGACCAATAGAATAGAGAAAAGAGAGGCTTTTCTGTCTGTTGTCACAAGTCTTGTTGACTCAGCCAGGAGTGAAAGAGATTCTCTGATTCAAGTTCTCCAAATCACAATAGGAAAAGCTTAATGGCAGCTAGATGGCTGGCTCTCTTGATGTAGGATTTCTCAGTCGGCAGTCAACATCGTAATTAAAAAAAATCCCTTTGCCCATAGCTTGAAGAAAAGCAGCTAAAATTTTCTGCTTCGGTCCTCCTCTTGCCGAGTGGGAAGTAATGAGGCTAGTCTCCCCTCTTGAATGAAGAAGTAGTGGGCCCCCTTCCCATCGGCCCTTTATTTAGATTCTTTCTATTTTTAAATTCTTTATCCAATTTATATTAAATAAAAATCTCTCCAGCAAAAGGCAATTCATCGACTAGTCGACCTTGCATTTTTTCAGGTAGCTACGCCTATTGAGCTAGTGGGGCGTTGGTCATAACATAGCCAAAATTCGTCGTCGAAGTAATAAACGCTCTTCTCCGCATGCTCAGTCTTCATATCTATTATCTCAACCACTTATTCTGTGATATTCATAGAGCGAATTGCATTCAAATAAGAGGTTTTTCCTCTCTATTCTATTTCCCACAGCTTCGTGCTTCCTTCATGCCAAAGCTTCTAGTTCAAGCCTGGCGTAACTCTTCCTTTACCAATATGAGGAATAGCAGTTGTTTGGCATGTTCATCAGTCCATATTTTAGAGTAAGAAGGCAGCAAGCCAAGTGATGTAGGACAGATTTGAGTTCTCTGTTCTACAAAGGATTTGAGGTGAGCTAGGGTTTGTTGTTTGTGAAATTAGGGTAGAATAGAGCTTGTTTAGGAAGAAATAAGGAGAAATTAGTCTGTGAACAGTAATTCGCAGCACTGAAGCAGCAGAATAAGGAAACAAGAAAGAAGAGGAAATAGAAGAACAAGAAAAGAAAGAAGAAATCTTGGCACTAAGCCTTCAAAATAACTCTAAAACTCATTTTATTGCATAACTCAACTCTGCTGAAAATTGAAACCTAGCATCTCTATTTACAGGGATTAAGATTCCATAGAAGACTAGGATAATGAATCCTTAATTGACTAGGAAATAAACTAAACGGGAATAAACTATTAAAGACTGTGACAGTAAATTCCTAAATAAGCCCAGACCTTCAAGTAATTCTGGACATTACTAAAATACCCATGATTTGCAGAACATGCAAAAATTACAATTCTGCCCGTGCTTACAAGACTGTAAACCCCAAACAAAGAAATCTACCAATGACACTTATTTTTTGACCAAAAGACTTCTTGCTTGATGAAGAATCACTTAATGTAGCTTCAGGTTTCTAAAGTGGGGAATGTTTATCTAAGGATAACATAGCTACTCCATCACCAAGTCTGTTGCTTTTCGAACATGGGTTCAAATGAAGTTTAAACTAAATCATACAAGTGTATAATTATTTCTTGTTACTTCTATTAATATGTTTAAATTTTCCCAGCTCCTTCTCAAACAGGGTTTAGTGTTGTTGAATATGTCATGATCTGATTTGTGTTTCTCTTGCAGTCCGATGTTAACACAGTATGTTTTGCGGATGAAGCTGGCCATCTCCTGTATTCTGGAAGTGATGATAACCTCTGTAAGGTAAATGCTATTCATTTGCTTTTAAAGATTTAGGTCATGTTGTCCCAAAGTGCTACCCAGTATTCTTTCTGGTTTAACCAATTTGCAGATGCCTCACTGTAGGTTGAACAGAATTTTTATTACTGGTGCCTTGGCAGTTACTCTATGCTACTATTGTCAGTTTGTCACAAGCCACATAAAGCTAACCAGAAACTAAGCCATTTTGAATAAATAAGATGCCTTTTCACACTTGCTAAAATTTGAGATGGTACTAATTCTGCATATCTTAATTGGTTTCCTTAATAAAGGAATTTTCATTTATCTTTTACTCCAACTTCTGCAGGTGTGGGATAGGCGTTGCTTTATCTCAAATGGAAAAGCAGCAGGGGTCTTGATGGGACATCTAGAAGGCATTACGTTCATAGACAGCCGTGGAGATGGGCGTTATTTTATTTCTAATGGAAAGGATCAGACTACCAAACTATGGGATATCCGAAAGATGTCCTCTAATGCCAAAGAGTAGTAATATCAATGCTTCCTCTCCCATTCTCCCATGCAAAATTGCACACACCCATCCCCTAGAATTTTGCTTGCATGTTTTTTAATTGCTCCAAGTGTCTTTCCTCTAAGTCAATATTATTACGCTATACGTTTGAATTGTTCTTGTTAGGAGTTGATAATTACAAATTCTTATTCCATCCGTGTATTGTAGTTAATGCTTTCTGTTGATGGATGAAGCTTGGTTGGAACCAAGTGGAGGCTTGAACAGATTGATGTTAACAATTTTAAAGTTGTATGCCTTGTTCAATTTATTGTATATGGGTTGGGTTGTGTCTATGACAGGCAACTATAATGGCGATCTTCTATTTTGTCTATTCTGATTTGCATAAACTTGAAACTACGAGATCTGGGTTTGGAGATAGGACAGAAGATATTTACTCTTACAGTGTCATCTCTAGGGTGTAGCTTCCTCCAAATTGGCTTGGGAGGCCTTGCCCTTCATCTTTTTATAAAATTGTTTTGCCAAATGAATAAACCTTTTCAGAAGTTTGGATTTGCAGATGAAGGCAAATGGACTTTTGATGATGGATTAACATATCAAAGATTTGGGGTTGGGGGTGGGCATACACAATTCTATTTAAATAGCTTCATGGACCTATGTGTATCGTTTGAGCTGGTTTGAGTTTGTTTTGTGAAAAGAATGAATTGCATGCTTAACCCACCAAAATTTGGAAAGGATCTGATTTACTTGTGCCAGAATTGATTGATGCTCCCCTGAAATCGATTTAGCTACTGACTTTTCTCTTTTAAAACAGCACTCAAAGGCTTAGAAATTCTGACTGGGATTACAGATGGATGGAATACCCACCCCGTGCCAAAACCTTGACACATCCTCGTGATCAGTCATTGACCACTTACAGAGGTCATTCAATCTTGCGCACTCTGATTCGCTGTTACTTCTCTCCAGATTATAGGTACTATTTGATTAAATTTGGCTTAGTTGCCTCAGTGCAGATGTATGTTTTAATTTTCAGTCTTCAAAATGCATGTTTTTTGTCTTGAATTTTGTGTGAAGCCAGGCTTGATGTTGGTCAAAGGATTGACCCAGGGTCTTGCTCGTTCTGGTTTTCTGGGTTTACTGTTCAGACTACCTAAATTTAGCCTGGCAGAAGCACAAAGTAACTTTGGAGTTTTCTTACCTAGTTATGGCAGTTGAAAGTTTTCCATCCCAAACAGATTTGACTGTGTCAGTATTCAGTTAAGTTACATAAAATTTGTCTGATGAAATTGGCTTCTAGGTAGAATTGGATGAGACCTATCTGGTACACTGCCTGTTCAACAGCTTGTCTGGATTAGGGCATTGGTTTATCATGATGATATTTTCTTTCTATGGGACTAATTATTTTCACCAATTTGATTATTCACTTGTTGCAGCACCGGCCAGAAGTACATCTATACTGGATCCAGTGATTGTTCTGTTTATATTTATGATCTGGTATGCATGTGAATTTAGCATTCTTCTTCAAAATCAATGTTGTATTTCTTCGGTAATGTTTTATTTAGTAGTTGATGCAGAAAAATGAGGTGAGTTTGTTATTGTTTGTAGGTGAGTGGAGCAGTAGTTGCAACACTCGATCATCATGAAGGTCTTGTAAGAGATTGCAGTTGGCATCCTTTGTACCCTATGATGATCAGCTCTTCATGGGATGGTGTCATTGCCAGATGGGAATTTCCTGGCGCTGGTGAAGCACCTGCTCCGGTGAGACAGAGGTCAAGTCAGAGGCGGCTTCTCTAGAAAGATCACTGGTAGTTGATTGTTCTAGACATGAATTTTGTTCTTTTTTGATCTTGTATTCTTTTTGTGTTAGTAAAGGTCACACACGAGGAGGTCACTGCTTTAAAACGAAATTGAAACGCAGATGGTGAAGGTAAAAACCAGCCGGTTCTTTTTTGTTGGATCTCATTAATACGGCTTGTATATAAGAATTGCGACAATAAGTTCTGCTTCACCACGTTGTTAATGGTTACAAACTACTGGGTGCTGCAGCTTCCTTTCTGTATGTAGCTCATTACAATCCTTCAGTCTACACATTCTGTAATCACACTTGCCCTTTTTTCTTCCAAAAAAGTTACATTTGATTGTTCCATGCTTGTGCATAGGCGAGGAAAGTGAACGAGACAAATCATCTCTTGCTTGGTGGTTGCCAAGAGCGACATGTTTTCTTTTATTTGAAATTGTGGAGGTCCTGGATGAATAATTTGAAATATAATTGATAGAATTCACAGCACGAGGGGCCAGAAAAAAAAAAAAAAAAGCTGTCATATAAATTAATTAAACCATTTAAAGAAACCTCCTGAAAGATCTATTACACGCGCGGATGATCCTGCGATTGTCCGATTAAAGCTTCAAACACAGTCACACGCATGGTTCTAGTTGTCCCTTTCAGCGCTAATAAACTGGTACCAAATCCACACAATAAAACTCTCTCTTATCTTTTCTTCTCTCTCGTCCTCTAAACGAACAAACAAATGGCATCACCGACGACAAGAGTGACGTTTCGGCTAGTGGTGGCGATTCTAGCAATCCTCGTCCTCTTTTACGTCGGTCGTCCACTGTACTGGAAAATCTCCGCTACTGTTCAAGAGATCCGCGAGAACAAACGCACCGTCAAACAAGGTAAGCCAGCTCCTTCATTAATCATCATTGAATTGAGTATTATTAAAATTTGAGATTGCAAATCTAATCGACACAAGTTCATGTTTTTTTTTGTTACAGGTATTTCTCAGATTGTTTACGAAGCGCAGAAATCGGTTGGCTGGTTTCATGACGAGTCTGACTCTGGAGTTCGCGACAGTCGGAGATTGAGGTTGCTCTTTTAATTTTACCTTCTTATGTCATCATCATCTGAAAGTTTTTTCATATATATTTTTAACTAGTACTAGTACTTAATAAATAAATTTTGCTTGATCATATATTATTATCATTATCATTAATATAATATGAGAGGGAATTTATGTGTAGATCTGCTTGTTTGTTTGCCTTTGTTGAAGTACTAGTAACTGTAATCCAAGGATTTTATTGAAAATTAATAGTGCTTTTTTGTTTGATTTAACCCTAATTACATTAATCACCTCAAATTGATTTAAGGGTAATTATATCACCTCCAGCATATTGGGTTTGATACATTAATCAGCAACATGGCAATCAAGAATCACTGCAGGTTTTGAGAATGGCCCTGCAAATCAATTAAAGTTCTACTTATATAAAATCAAATACTGCAGATAATTTTTTTTTCTATTTTTACGTTCATTTCTCTAAACCCATGCATGAATATGATGAATATACAGCCGTGGGCCAGTGGCGAAGTTGCATGAATGAAGTGAAAGACCCATTAGTGTTCATGAGACCAAAATCTATCATCTCTTTGTTTCCATCAATTTTTGTTCACTTTTCACTATGGCAAAGCTCCTTTGCTACGGCTATATCCCTTCCTTCCTGCAATAATTACCATATCAATTTACATTTTCTTTTTTACCAGAAAAGCAAATGGCTTTCGTGATTTATTAAAGGAGTAATTTTATAATAAATAACAAGTAACTAATAGTATATGCAGTAATTTTATCAAGGAGAGATAGATAAAAAAAAAATGAATTAAAAAAAAATGAAGGATGTAGAAATTTTTTTATCATTTTTTATGAGTTTCGAAAGTAATTTAATGTTTTGTTTTTTTTTTCTCAAAATAGATTTAATTAGTTAACATGTTATTATTTTCTTTTTATGTAAAAATTTCTCCAAAGGATATTACAGCTTAAGCAATAAGGCCCGTGACAGTCCATCCGGCTTTCGAAGTGACAGGGAGATACTCAGAGTCAAAAGTCCAAAGATTTTTTAGCTAAGAGGCTGTACGGCAACGCAGTGTTTTTGGGTTCTTTTGGAGTTTTTGAGGCTTTTGAACCAGATCAATGAAGTGTTTTTGCTAACATTTAAAAAGCGTTTTACATGATGAAAACTTTCGAGCTTTTATAGCATAAAAACATTTGAAAATATACTATATATCAAATTTATTGTCCTAACTTACCCTAATACCTTGTTTAGGGAAAAAGTATAGGAAATTATATATTAAGGAAAGTAAAGCTTGTTTATTACCCACAATAAAAATCTCTTCTGCACTACTCCTTCGTAGAAAAAAGTGACCTGGAATTGGGGTGCTTTTTCCCCATTTTACTGCCATATCTGAAGTAAGCGAACAAACATCCAACTACAACAAGCCCCATCGGAGCCGTAGCTGAAAGGCAAGCCCTTCTTTCTTGTCCTTTGAAAATCCATGTTTAAACAATTCTATCAAAAGAAATTTAGATCGATCAGGAAAACACTAAATGAAAAATATTTTCTATAAAGAAAATACAGAACTAATTTTGTATCTAATTTGTACGTGTTCTTTTTATTTAGCAAAATCATTCTAAGTCCACCGGATGGACAAATTAAACACGTTGCAGTCATGATGTTGTTTGTCTTCTCAAAACAAGAATAATGCTGTTAGTGATTTACTCCTCATGATAGGTCGTGAATGGAGAAGGGTGTTTGCATGAACTGGTTTGGTCCAATTTGATGTGCTTTGAGATTGCATTTTTTATTTTATTTTTTACACTAATTGAACACAATTTTTTTTTTTAAAAAAAAAACCCTAGTTTGAATCTAAAATATTTTAGACTGAATAAGTCTTCTTCTTGTGCCTTAATCGTTGCCCATGGAAGCGATTTTAAGTATGCGATGGACATCCCAAACATTTTGGCAGCTTGGATTGCATATCAATTGGAGGGTTAAACTTTCAACCAATTGCACTATAGATTCGGCAGTCAATTATTTTAAGAGCATTATGGAGACAAGAATGATAGAGCTGTGTCAAATCTCAATTTGCCTAACCAACAGCCCAATTAATCAAAGAATATGAGTGCTTAAACACGGCTTGGGAAATGATATCAATTATTCGGACACTAGATTTTTGTAGGAAGGTTCATTCGCTGTTGCAAAATTGTCGATCCATTGACATTGAGAGGTTACGGGCCGAGATTTGATTTGACTAAGGAAATGATTCTGGGCTGGACAATACGGATCAAATCTCAAAGTTCAACTGAACATCGTTTGGTGTTCCGTAGTTAAGAAAAATAATATGGCAATGCAATTGCGACTTCAGTTTTCCCATCTCGTCCTTAATTAGAGAATTCATTGGATTAATGAATCAAGTCAGAGCAGAGCAACAAGTTTTTTACGCACTTGTGACAACGATATTCCACCAACCTAGCTATCGTGATAATCTTTGATTGTTCGAAGGCAATGGGTGAAACAAAAAATCCAAGACCATTCTCAACTAGTTTACTCGGAGGGGACAATTAACTAGATGGAGCCATCATTAGCTTGCAAACATTTTACGTATAAAAATATTTTTCTGAATACCCATCAAGTAGTTCCATAACGGGGCCCCGTTCTATTTTTAGTCTCGCAGAATTTTCGTAGTTTCAAGACCAAGACAAGTTTTTTTTTTTATTTTATGGTCATTTCAGAACTTTATGTGTCGAATAATTATTTATTGATGCTAAACCAACAGATATCCTCCGGCAATTTTCAATATTTATGTACAGCTAGTTTGATGGTAATCTTATGGTTCATTACTATTTTTCACTATTTATAGAATTTAATTTTATTGTAAATTATGATATATGATGAGAATTTTCTACGTAAATGTTTCAAGAGCAAGAGACAGTAAACATAAAGTTAACTCGATGCACAGCTAATAATCCTATTCACATCATCCTGTTTCCTTTCATATTACAACAGAACTACCTTATAATTATGGAAAAAAACAACATGAAGAACACAGTGAAAAAATACATAAAATTATTGTTGGCTCATGTGGTGGGATGCTAGTATCTATGGCTCAAACTTTCAACCCTCCAATCCAAGTGCAATATACTTCCATTGTAATAACACCACAAAAAAGAAAAATAAAAAACGCAAAGGTTACTTAACACAGCATTCCACTGATAGGGAATAAAATTCTGAAGCACTAATCCTTGGAAAGTTAAAAGGTCAAAACTAAGAATATGATGTCACTTATCAATTCCATATCACCACTCCTTAGTTTACACTAAAGAAAAAAAACTTTCAATTTTTGTTATAGATTTCATGTTGGGCTCTTCTCAAGCGGATTCCTTGGTTTCATAGATTTTCCCTCCTCTTTATGTCGAGGTTACTTTTTGGCTGATTTTGTATATATTATATTATATATATTTTTTTATTTAAAACAGGATTGGAATATAAAATCCTTTTTTTATATATAAAAAAATAATGCTAATACTAGTTGAGTTATATTAACATTAGATCTCACTTATGGTTTGCTCATTTATTGTACCAAAATAATAATAATAATAATAATTGCAGGGTTGGTGGCATGCCCTGCAAAGTCGCCAGTTTGTACTTGGTAAATCAAGTCCTGGATGGTGGTTACGTTTCATCTACAATATTAATTAATTATTCAATTATTCAAAGCATGTGTACGTAAACCCAACAACATTGCACGCAATTAATTTCTTAGGTTCTCGTTTTGGCTTAGACAACTCCATATTGGATTCATCAATTTGGATGTGCTCCTTAAATTCAATATATATATATATATATCATGTGGTTTTTGAAAGAACTATTGACTATTGCACATGGGATGAGTTTTTTGCAATGGTCAGTCTCTCTCTTTGTGATTAATGATTCTGTCCTCTGTAGCCAACGGTCAAATTCAAGCTCACCTGCCCCTCTTAAACTAATAATTTTGATTTCAATCAAAATGGAAGGATTAACTTTATACCATATCCAAAATGTCAAAATCATCATTGCTCTTTTAAAACCACATGATATATTGTGCCAGAATTGAAAACTCAAAATCATAAATTATAATAGGAATTTTAAATTCACCAAGTTAAAAGTTCCATTTTCATCCTTGAAAAAAAAAATCTTTTTTGTGGCATTAGATATGAAATATTAATAGATTAAAAAAAAATAAGATTTTTAAAATCGACCAAAGACTATATGTGAGAATATGATGAATTAAAATTGATTCAAAAATACTTTTATATATATATATATATGTAAGATTTTTGCTGCCTAAAAACCCACATAGGTGTATCTTATTCTCATTTTCTTTCGACAAACTTTTCTTTAATAATTAGTCGATCAACGTAATTTAAAAAACAATCATATTGCAACTATCTTTTCTCCCCTTAAATTCAAAATAATTCTTTGAATATCCAGAAAAATCAAATCTTGTGATCTATTTCGATTGCAATTATTGAAAAACCTCCTCTTTAAAACTAAGCAGTAAAAACTATTTTAATTTCTAATTAAGAGAAATGTTATATTTTGTTTGGAAGCTAGCTAGTTTACTGTTTATGTTGAATGATCAATTTGCATGGTAATAAGTTATTTGAGTTGAGAACCTACTCATACCGGTTTTTTTTTTTTTTTTTAATGTTTGATGAAAAAATAGCACTATTTCTATTATGTTGTCCTTTTTTTCTCAGTCAAGGTTTTTTTTTAATGTTATTGTGATTTCGAAATACAACCGCTTTTAATTTTTTTTATTTTTATTTTAAATTAATGTTTGATTATAATTTGTTTTGTTCTGAAAGCAAAACATGTGTTATTTTAAAAGAAAATTGTTTTGCTTTTAAAATAAAATAGGGTATCGGCTGTTCTTAACTAGAAACATAATTACTTATTGTTAGGTTCATTTTTAATCTAATTAAAATAACAACTTGTCTCCACTATTTTTTTTTTTTAATAATTTTCACACATATCAATTTTACTACTGTTTTTACGTAACTCTATTTGA